AATGAATGAATGAATGAATGAATGAATGAATGAATGAATGAATGAATCTGTTGGGAATGTTGTAATAGCAGAATCCTTCATTGAATAGGGTTTTGAACTAGGTGATCTTCCTTATTCTTTCATTCTATATTGCCCTTTATAATCCATGTTCATTTTAAACTTTGCATAGATTAATCTATATTATTCTGAATGCTAACATGTAACTTGGCTAATTCTGTGTGTGTTCTAAGTCAGTGGAAAAGGCCCATCAGTTCAGATCTTCCTTGTCTCCATTTAATTCTGTTAATTTACAAGGGCTCAATCTTGAGACTCCAAGGCTGCATTTACCGTTGAATTTTATATGTGACTCCCAGAGATGCTCAAAAGCTGTCACCAATTGTGTATTTCTATCTAAAATAAAAAAAATTATTAATACAGAATTGGAAAGCAATTCTATTAGCTATACTTAAATTTAATCCAGTTGAAATGTAATTTACATTTGGAGTCACTACTACTTTTCTGAATGTGGTACCAGGGATGCTACTAAGACATCAGGTGGGGCTAAACCTAGATCAAGTTGTATATTTGTGTGTTTATTAGAAATCATCCTATCTTGAGTATTCAATCTAAGCCTTAAAATAAGTCTTAAAATGTGATCCAAGGACCTCAGAGGTCCCCCAAGACCCTCTCAGGAGTTTGTCAAATCAAATTTGCCAAATATGAACTATATTTGCAAAAAATTAAATCACTCTTCTCATTATTATTTTTATTCTATTTCTATTCTATTTCTTTTATTTTATTAAAATGTGTATTTTTAAATGACCAATATATTTCTGTTAATATAAAATGGGTTTAATAAGCTAATTTTGTATGATTCAATAAATACACATTCCACAAATACATATATTTTAATGTTTAATATGGTAAATATTAGTGATCATAATGCATACAACGCTCTTTCGGAGTTCTCCATAGCTTTTAAAAGTGGGAAGGGTGCTGAGAGCAAAAAGTTTAAGGAACACTGCCTTAAGGTATGCAAGAAGTGCTTAGCCACCAGACTTGAAATTCTAGAACTAGAAAACCTTGAATTATGCCGTCTTCGGTCTGATTTAAGCATGGTATATAAAATCATACATTGCAATGTCCTACCTGTCAATGAATACTTCAGCTTCAACCATAACAACACAAGAGCACACAATAGATACAAACTCAAAGTTAACTGCACCAAACTTGATTGCAGGAAATACAACTTCAGCAATAGAGTGGTCAATGTCTGGAATACTCTACCCGACTCTGTAGTTTCTTCCCCAAACCCCAAAAACTTTAACCTTAGACTGTCTACTATTGACCTCACCCCTTTCCTAAGAGGTCTGTAGGGGGCGTGCATAAGCGCACCAACGTGCCTACCGTCCCTGTCCTATTGTTTCTCTTATTTTTTTATTTTTCTTATATGTACCCATTTCATGTATTCACAACTATGTATACACTTATACTTATCTTGTAAACAATTGGCAAATCAAATAAATAAATAAATAAATAAATCTCTGCTGCTGGGGGGAAATGTTCAAACGTGATTATTGAAAGTGGTAATAATACACAATAATTTGTTTCTCGTGTCGGCAGCACAACTGGGTTATAACCAGTCTCCCTTAATTCCGACAGCCTAGAAATCTGCGCACCAGGGAGAGCAGTCATCCTTGGAAGCCCAATCTTCCTCCCTGGGACACCCACTCAGCGAAGCCCCTTCGAACTACTTTTCCCATGATCCTTTAAGCTGAACTCTGCGCTCGCGCCACAGTAACTCTCGGGGAGGGGGCGGGGGGAGTAAGGAAGATGGCGGCCTGGCCGTCGCGCTCTCTCACGGGCGGGGGGCGGTCAGCGCGCTCCTAGCACTTAGACCGACGGGGAGGGTCGGCTGTCATTGCCGCCATCGCCACCATGTCGGAGCCGGGCCACCTGGGGTTCAAGCGGGCCGAATCGGCGAGGCTGCGTCGGGCGGAACAGCTGAAGCGCTGGAAAGGCTCCTTGACCGAACTGGAGCCGGTGACTCCCGCCCGGAGCCGGCACCGCGGTGGGGGCCGTGTGCGCTTCGAGGACGGCGCCGTCTTTCTGGCCGCCTGCTCCAGCGGAGACACGGAGGAGGTGAAGCGCCTGCTGGCCCGAGGAGCCCGCCTTAACACGGTCAACGTAGACGGGCTGACAGCGCTACATCAGGTACCCCCAGGGCGGAGCACCTGCACTCAACACCCCAAATCTGCCGGGGATGGAGAGGGGGGCGAGAGCGCAGCTGTATGCGAGGGATCGCGTTTCGCCCCTCTTCGCCATCCCGGAATCTCCGGGGATTTATCCGTCCAGAGCCATGGATGGGAGCGTTGCCCAGTCATCTGCTTGTGCTTGGGATGCCCTTCGGACGGGTTGCAAGACCAAGTCCTCTACTGCCGGGGCTTAGGGTAGCTGTTGCCCAGCACATGTGGAGAGCCCGGGCTGGGATGGCTGGCGTTGGGTCAGAGGCTGAGCTTGAAATTGTGGAGGACGGTTTCTCAGATAAGTGGAGAGGGTTAATTCAGTGGTTAATTGCCCCCCCACATACACACACCTTCCCAGGGCTCCTTTCTGTAGGTATTGGAATTAATCATTCCCCAATAGACTTAATACTGTTGTACTGATTCCTTCCTTGGGAAGAATGATTGCATTCTCCATAGTCACCAGATTGCTCTCCTGCCCACCCAGTGTTTCCTTTCTTTCATAAATGACATAAAAAGTCATCTACGTGAATTGGACAACCCAGCTCACACTTATGCCTGCGAACAGTTTAGATTACTAGTTGCATAGTAATGGCAATGGAGCAGATGTTAGACATCAATTCTTTTGTTATTTATTTTTGTTTGCTATGTTTTACTTGAACTTAATGTTAAAAAAAAAAACTCTTTGCCATATAAACAAAGATACCCATCCTGTGGCTATGTTGGATGAATTAACCCCTATAATATAACAGTTTGTCAGTTATTTCTGTTACTAGGGTTACTGTGGTTTTCTCATGTAGAAAACATTTGCTACCCAAACAATTATTCTTATTCTCACTGAAACACACACAATGCATTTTTTTAAATTACTAATACACATTTTTTATTATGTGATTTTGAATCTGGGAATGGGGGAAGATAAGACCATGCAAATACATTTGATTAATCTAAAGTTATTGTGTCTGCTTTCATCATCAAAAGAATGAAAAATAGAAGGAAGAGATTTTTTTTCTTTTTTTTTCTTTTGTTTGTTTAGAAATGAGAAAGATCAGGTTAGTTTGGTAAGTGTTGTCTAATTTTCATGATAACTTGCTTTAAATGGAGAATTTTTGATATCAAATTATTCTAATTTGTATTTATTTCCAGTAGAAAATATTATTTCTGATGTAAAAAAAAAACCTATATAGAATATTTTCCCTATCGTTGCTTCTTCTTTAATAGAATTCTTGGGGTTCTAAAACAAAAAAATAATTGAAGTTAATATTGCAGAATATGAAAATCCATAACAGATAGTTGTCAATGATTTCAAATAATTGACATGCTGCTAAAATAATAAAATATTGTAAAATTACAGGCTCTTTGGGTTCATTTTTTGTTTTTGTGTGAAAAAAATGAGAATTATGATCTGTCTATTGCTTTAATGTGTCATGTACTGGACTTGCTGTGATACTTGTGACTTTCAAAATCTTTTCCCTTGGCAACCTTTAAAGAGACCACAAGGTGCCAAGGCCTAAGATAAGCAACATTGAATTCTATTAATAGAATTTCTAATGTGCAATGAGCACCAGAAGCATCCTCAAAAGTCTGCTCCCTAAATGAGGCTATCATTAGAATTTCATTGTCTTTTATTTGGACTCGTATTGTGTTACTTTTTCTAATGCAACAGTGAAGATATTCAACACTGGGAAATACCTAGCAAGCTTGCATTTTTGTCATTTAACTATTATTATGCGATGGATACAAGTTGCCTAAGTAAGATTTCAATGATATGAACACTTATATACTATGCAAATTATTTCATTAGTATACATTTTTGGATACTTTTAGATGTGTGGATTGGCAAGGAATTATGCCCCAACCAATGGAATTCTTACCTTGCTTATAGTTTTTTAATGACATACACTTTTCAGACAGAAAGGCTTTTAAGAAGACGGAATTGGGGTTTTTGGTCATAATTGTATATTACATAATTGTAATTGTAATTGTCAAGCAATTTTTAATATAACTAATAAGCCTTCATTTGATGATGCAGTTTTCTTCATACATTCTCAGATTTGTTGAAGGTTCTGGTAAGATTTTGAGGGTTTTGTTGTTGACGGCTTTGTATGAGTCTTCGTTCTGATAATATTTTGACAATCCCTCAATACGATAGCTGTGACCTCCACAAGAATTAAACAGTAAAAAGTAACCATAGTCTTGCAAACTTCTGAAAAAAGTTTTACTGCTTGATATTCCAGCTTCGAAAGAGGATATGGTGTGTAAACGGTATCCATCATACTGCATATAGAAGAGTAGCATCTTGCCAGTAAAACAATTGATTTCAGAGAGTTCTGGATATGACTCCTAGATGACCATTTGGCAGATATAATAAGTATTGTGTGAAATCAGGGACAGTGATTGATGACATAATGGCATTCATCCTTCAGCTTGGTTTTCTTCAGCATGATCCCACTGAGTTAAGGCGTAAAGCCTGTGCAATCTTGAGCTCACAGGAAATCATTCCATTCTATTTAAGTGAGAGATCCATGCATTATCTACTAAAGTTAGTAATAACAAATGTGTTTTTAGGAGTGGCAATGAGTGACTTTATAGTTGAACCACCTCTTAAGAGTCAGAATAAAAGTTTGCATCATCCTCATCTTTGTTCTATTCATTCTGACACTAATGGCCTTGGTGTCAGGCCAAGTACAAAATCTTAAGATTTGCTGTTAGTTGCTCTGCTTTTAATATCCTCGACAAGTCCTTGCCTCAGCTGGTGTGCTATTGAAGCTAGGTTTAGAGATCACTATCATTTGGGGGAGGATATGAGAGTTGGACATTAATGTATGTTGTGTTATGATTGGTTTCCTTTTCTATCAGGTTTGATCACAAATTTTGATCACCTACTTTTTACATTACAATCAGGGCATTTTGAATGATTTGTGAAAGAACAAATAATGTATTTGTTAAAAACATTATTTGGATCTAAAGTTCAAATAACACTGTGTTGACATGTATGTCATATATATGACATGTATGTCATATATCTGCCTTCTAATAGCCTTTTAGTGTGGTCCCAGCATCTGAGGTGTGGATTATTAGAGGGTGGAAGCTGTATTTTGGAATGCTCTTCCTAGATTCGTCCAGCTGAAGATATATTTTAAGCATAATTTCAACATCAGGCAAAGTCCCTGTTTTCCCAGTTTTTTTTTAGTTTTCTGTACATTCTTAATTCTGCTTCTGGAGAATTCCAGATTTTGTTTTACTTGGTTATATTGTCATTTTGACTCTTTCATTTGCTGCTCTGTGAATCTGTTAAAGAGTGGGAATATCTAAAATAAAAAAAAATGAAATAATTAACATTTGCAGAAATACAATTTTGATGAAATTAGAACAAATTTATTTCAATTAGAAAATGTTGACAATGGAATACAGTTTCATATAGTCTCATAAAATTCCATGGCTTTCCAATATAATTTGCTGTTATAAGGGATATTCGTTCCAGTTATTTGTTTCAGTCCTTCTGTGAACATTTGCAAAAGGAATAATGGATCAATTGTAGATTTCCTGCTGGAGAAATAACAGAATAGTACCCAACCCTCTTTTTTTACATTTATCTTATAGTTCCAGTATTGCACACCATGTTGGATGGTCCTTCAGATCACAGGAACAGATTTTTGCAATAATTGGCTATAGGAAGAAAGAGAAATTGAAGAAAACTCTTAACGCTTCTGCCTTCCTGCCACAGATCTAACCCATTGGTTTTTGTGGTATTAAATGGGTATCTTTTCTTAGGAAATAAATATGTTATTAAAATTCAAATTGGTCATGATAATATGTGTGGGTATGTATGTTTATATCTGTAGATATGTGTAGATATATAATCATGATAGTCTTGAATAATAATTTTTATTATGATATATTTTACTACTGTTCTATTGTACAAGGTATTTGTAAGAACTATATATAAAACTCTTTGACTGTCTGAAGCATGTTAAATATACATCAGGCTTTCTTAGATGTACAGATTATTTTAATTTCTAGTATTTCACTTAAAAGTTTTTCTGTCATATAATAAGAAACCTTCAGAGAATGGCCAGTAGGAGGAAAATGTCCTCATAAGTAGTGCTATATTATTTGCATTTTAATTGAAGTGGCAATAGTGATTGTGTTTATTTAAGAAAAATTACAATATAAAACTCACAATTCTCACATTATGAACTTATTTCTTTTCACTTAATTAAATCATTAAAGCTATAATCCATATAAAAAAGATTGGTTAAAATTTATTTTGGGGACAATGACTTTTTAGCAAAAGTAAGAATATATTCTGGTTTCAATAGAGATTGAATGACTAATTGTGTGTCAGTGTTTTCATATAGCAGTGAAACCTAGGATAGATTTTGTCATCTAGAACATGGCATACAACAATGTTTTCAGTGATGTGTTTATGTTATACGTGTTTGTAATGAAAAAAGAAGTCTTCATCTGACTTGTAAACAACACAATATGTATTCTGTTCTGGGGCTAAAATCTTTATTTTATTTTTATCTCATTTCTAATCCAAGGGCTTATGGTATTTTTATGACTTTTGCCATCACCTGGGAGCAATAGATTTTCATGTATTTATGTTTCTTCACATTAACTATGTGAAGAATTAACATTAACTATTTCCTTTTGAGTGTGTGTAACATGTAGGTGTGACTTTCTCAACCTGTTTTTTTTCCAGGTATGTTTCAACTTTTGTTCATGTTAGGCCTAGAAAGATGACAGTAGGTACTAGGCATAGATTCAGGAAAGTACATTGTTCACTATTATGAAATCAGAAAAAAAAAACCTTTTTGTTAGCTTGATAAGTGAAATGTTGAGACTTGCTTTAACATCAAGAATGAAATTACTAATGTTAGCAGACTGTGTTAATTGTCTTGACAATACTTACTATTTCTTATCAGGTTGTATGCTCTAAATGACTGAGTGATTAACAAGCAATCC